GATCGCGATAGGAAAGCCAATATCACTGTCGATTTTTTTCTTCGCGATCGCGTGACCGATAAATGTGGCGTGAATTATGTGAAATCCGCGTGTCCAATTGCAAGGACTTTAAAGGCTGTGACCTCGTCGCAATGTATCATTATCAAGAATATAGAAAAAACGCTCGAATTAGACTGTTAAAGCGAGATGTGTCGTTGTATTTGTACATAATTCGTGTAGTTTATACACTTTTCTAAACGAAAGAGAGATTTATCAGTTTTACTCGTTTAATACTAGAAGTACCAACCTGCCATTATTGACTATTTTTATTTTTTAGACTAATATTAATAATAGTAATAATAATAATAACTTTATTGAATACAAATAATAAAGAGACACATATTTAAATAAAGATATAATTTCAGACAAAAAACGAGTAGTAAATGTTGATTTGACTTCTATAATCTGCAAATACATTCAATATAGACTAATACTTAATGTAAACAATAAACAGAAAGTATTACAAATGCAGTTATCAATTGTATACTAAAGAAAATGTGTGAAGAGTTAAAGAAATAACGACATAAATGTTATTTTATATTTTTTGTATAAAGATAGGATTCTGAAATTCTTTTATTTTTCAATAATTATGTTTTTTATATTAATGAAATATCTTTTTACTTTATTTTTTTTATTTTCATAGAAATTTATTTACTGAAACTTTTTAGTGAATAAGAAACGTTGGTACTTCTAGTGTTAAACCGTTTGTTACGGAGAATAAAGATGGAAGATATATATAACAGATATGTATCGTTTAAAAAACATCTCAATAATACTTACGATAATCCGTGAGATAATCGAACGACGTGGAAAAAATGCTTGCGATTGCTTCCTTCTTGTGCGTTTATTTACGCGCGTGGGATACACTTGATGATCGATCTATACTCCGAATTGTAGCGTACGATATCTTAATCGAGATCTAGATATTTTACGCCGATGCCGGCGGCGGTTATGATTGCAATTGGTTAGCCAGGTTGTCGGCGTTGCAGTCTGGTTGCAACCGGCTCGGGAATAGAAATCCTGTTTTTGGCGGACTCATGATCATAAAAGTTGCCAACCTGTTCCTCGGACACGATCTTACGGTGATTCTAGTACTGACCAGCCGGTCGGAGGATCAAGATATCACGTGATTTCCGTAATCGTTCGGCGATTCGCTCTGCTCCAAGTGACAGTAAACAAGTTTGCAAAGAAACTTTTTGCCGCTTCTTCATAACTTATCGTATTATTATAAATTTGGAAATTATCATAGCTCGATAACGATCTCGATAAGCCAATCGGCCATTGGCTCAACTATGAAACTGTACACGGAAAGAACAGTTTTACTAAAGTATCTGAAAATGTAGCTACAGATCTGAAAATTATTTCGTTATTATAATAAACTATGAAAATAATTATGTAGGATATTCAAGCTGGTAACTAGAATATAAACATTTCTGCAATATTGTTTATCATACTTGAATTTCCTCTATAATTATTTCAACTTTTTATAAAATCATTTTCAGACCTGTGTAGTTTATTATGCTTGAGATTTCTACATAATTATTTTGATGATTTAATAACTATTTTCAGTTCTACATCTAGCTTATCATGTTTGAGTTTCCTATATAATTCTTTTTATGGTTTAATAAAATTATTTTCAAATCTGTATTTAGCTAAATTTTTAGACTTTTTAACAAAATCGTTCTTTCCTGTTATTGATTCATGCTTGTAATTATTTCCATAAGTTTTTATAAAATTTCTAGTTTTAAGATTTTAAAAAGTACATATAATTCTCTAATTAAATTATAATGTAATTGTATATAACTTTTATAAATAATTTTATTTCTAATTCTTATATGTTACATCTCCATCGAAATATCCATTCTCTCTTGTATTCTCTCCCTAACAATTTTATTCGGCAAAGTTCAACAGCATACTCGATACACTTTATGCAAACATCATAGCAATAATGGCACGCATTTTGTTCTGGATCGCTGACGCACATGTTATTGTTAGTTTTCAACCGCATTGCTCCAATACGCTTCGCAACGAAATACTTAATCACAGACGTTGTTCTACGATAACTAGAGCCGAAGGGTTGTCGGATTCACTGATCGTCTTCCGAGTGCATGGTGTTCAACAGAGCGAAGAAGGAATACGAGCCTCGCAGGATCTACGAAAAGAGAGTTTATAGGAAATTATCGATCGATCTTCTGTGATTCAATCACGAATGATAAATGACGCAATACGCGAGTGCGTAAAAAAAAACTGTGCTAAGGGCCGCTTTGACTACTCCGATTAATTTCAATCGATATTGACGATAGCCTATTGCATTTGTCAACGACAGATGTGATTAACCAATTCCACTGGACTAACCGCTGTAAAGTTAATCAAAATTGGTCGAAACGGCTCTAAGCAAAAATTTAGTCGAGAAATCTGTGTAATAATTAGTTAAAATAACCAACTTCAAATTATTTCGTGAGTTTACTCACTCTAATTCAAATTACTTCTACGAGTATACGCGAGAAAATCTTCGGATCACGAATCAGTGCTTGACCATTTCGACTTCGTACTTTGACAGTGTCTTTAGGCATTCTGTTGTATCAGACAATCGCGCGACCATCGATTTAATACGCGGTTGTTCACGAAGGATGGGCGGAGAACACGCTTCGCCTCTCTGCACGTGCCAGAGGTGCGTTTTGCTTTTCATGTTCTTTCTGGACTCTTATGGAGTATCATTCAGAACGTCCGGTGTTCCATTCTTTTATTCCGATGTGTTTACGACTATCGGCGTATCAACTCGCCGCAGGTGAAGAGAAATAAAACTGCCACATGTATGAAGCAACAGCGAAAAAACGCTGCACTATATTTGAATAGATGACGGGTATAAAGGGACGAATTACTGCAGTTATCAAATTTTTCAGTATTAATAAAAACTGTTTAACTTCAGTTCCAGAGAGAGAGTCCAATAAATAAAATTACCAAATGTACTTTTGGAAATTTAAATATGACACATTCAATAAAGTTTTTTTTAAATATTTCTAAATCCTGAAATCTTGTTTAAATCTCAATTAAATGAAAAACTTAATTTTCAAATTTGGATTCACGCTTATTTTGTTCAACGTTGGTGAAAAAATTAAAAATGTTACGTTACATGATTGATGTATCTCAAATTATATTAAACAATAATCATCTCTTTTTTTTATATTATATTAACATGAAATAATTTACACAAATTAATTTTGAAAAGTTAAAACACTGACTATTGAAATATTTTTTCTGATTGTTTAGTCGTTAATCATTCAAAAATCCATCGAAAAGCTTTTTACATTCTGACGAGATACTGGATTCCATTTTTTTTTCAAATCCTGATTCTTGCGAGTCCTGGATTCATGACCTCTCTACACTCTCTCTACACTCTCTACGTTTTCCACTATCTACTTAAATTTTTTAGGCTCTTCGAAGCCTGGGAAAAGTGTCTTGTTTTATATAGAAAGCGTACCTATCCATTTCACGGTTAAAGGGAAGTTAAAAGAAAAATTTATTTTCGAACAAAATTAGACTTTACAAGACGAACAAATTTATCCTCTTTTTACAATAATCGATTCATTTAAAGTTATTAATCTGTCAGTGAAACGGGACTCATCTAATTCATGCAATTCATATTTTTTGCTAATGTCTTGCCGAGTTAAATCTCTCTGGAAAGTTCACGGAATTGCGCGAAAAATACTGTGAGAAATGCTTCGGTCTCTATATATTCAATCTTTCTCCTCAAGTGCCTGTCTGATGGCTTTAATTTCATTTAATTACTATGATCTCACTCGATACTTTTTTCACTATGCGACACCAGAAGTATCACGCGGTACTCAACCGGTCTGAGGATACGATCATCGATGCACTTTTGAAGATATACTCACCGCGGTGAACGTCTCCATGGTTAAAGCGTAGAACACACCTGCTTTCAGATTTATTGCTTTTCTTGAAAATATTATGGACAGTATTAGCAGACGTCCAGGCTTGGCGGAAATGTCATCATTCCATTTCGAAAGCCATTGGCTTTGCGTCAACGACGCGCTCTGTAAGAGCTCATATAAATCCACTGCGATGAGGAAGTTTGCCTCAAATATACATATTACAAATCCGAATGAATTACATATCGTGTGTTAATTTCAAAGAGATTACAAGTTTATTAAAATGTAACTTTTATCAAGTTTCTCGTTTTTCGTTGATTTTGTTGATGGGTTTATTAGTGTTATAATAATTATTAGTGTTGATAGTAAACTGAAAAATCTCGTATAATACTTTTGACATCGTGAAGTAAATTTTGATCTTCGTTCCCTTACTTCAAAAGACGCAATTAAAAAAATTAAATTTTTCAGAAAAGATAAGAAACTATTTTTCAACTGAAAGAGAAAATTATTGTCTAATCAAATAATATCAGCAAAAAAGGAATATATTCTTAACATGATAAAAAAAAATGTCAGTTTTGTCATTTTCGTTTCACATTTCTTAAAAAATTCTTTTTGAGTTGCGACGATTTTGTTGATTTTTATAAAATTGAGTTAGTGCACTTTTGGTGATTGATAGAGTACTGTTTAATAATATTAATCTATTCATGAGAATAACACGAAAATCACATTTTTTTATGTTGTCACTTTTAAAGCAAGGGAACGGTATATACAGTTAGAGAATTGCACTATTAATATTTGAAAAAAACGTGTTGTATGTGTAAGTATAAATATGGCAAATTAGTAACGAAAAAATTACAGTAAAGCAAATGTTGCTACGGAACATAATTGCACCTGGTATTTCACTTCGTTTCCTAGCCAACAGAAATAGAAAAGCTGCGAAAGGGCCGCCATCAGGTATACCGCAAACTTTAAGGTGTTGGAGCTCTGGCCTATGACCTGCTCGAAACAAAGCAAGGCTCCGATCAGCACGATCTGCACCGCAACTTGGTACCTTGACTTATCACGACTCACCAAGGCTGCTTGGAAGCCAGTTAGGCAAATCATCGAGGTGCTCGAGAGCATCTGAACGAACATGCCGGCGCTGAACACCTTGTTGAAGTCGTCTATTATGGCGAGCAGACGTTGATGATTACGGATGGATCGTCCGAACCGCTCGGCGAAACCGCCGCAACGAATCGCGTCCGGATCGTAATTATCCTTTTCGCAGCTGGCCTCGGTTGTAGAAATCCCGTAACAAGAGTTTTCATCGATGGTGCTTGGACAATCTTGTTTATCGATACCATCACGATTTGGCGTCGCGTCGTAGCAGTCGTTACTGCCGCAGCTTTTAAAATGTGCGTTCAAAATCTCGAGCTGCACGATAAATAGAGTGCATAAATTGGTGAGCAAACTGTCCATCATGATGATGGCGGTTATGCCGATGGAGACGGTGCAGGCCTCGACGAAGAAGCCGATCCCGTGCCATGGATACACCGTTGTATCGAAGGGATACTGGGCCCTCACCGGGAGCTCTCCGTTCTCCACAGGCACGATGAATAGCAGAGCGATCACGAGGAAGAAGCCCAGGACGCTAAATCCATAGAAGGCTATGCGGCAGAGCAGCAGGTATTTGTCCAAGATTTCGTTTTCAACGCCAACTGAATGGATAATTAAAATTTGCACGAAAAAAAATCAATTTTGCTGAAGTATTTAAAAAGAACTCCGCATTAATCTCATGTGAAAAATTAAATCCCAGTAAAATGAGTTAGTTTTCATTACAGTGCAGTTTATATGATGAACAAAAAATGTGATAGACATAAAACTTAGTAATGGATAGTTTCTGAGCTATGGTGTATCGAAAGTAATACTTATATGCTCATGCACTTGTGATCCTTTGATACATAGTTGAAAAACTGTCTATTATTAAACTTTATGTCTGCGACAGCTTTTGTTTCCTGTATAAGTTATGTGAAAACCGATTCACTGAGATCAAATTTTCTATATAATAATGCGTAGGCTTTTTAAATAGTCATAGACCTGAAAATAATTTTAGATTATTAAAATAAGTATGTATATAGAAAACTACAATATAATCAACACAGCTGCAAAAAATTCTTGACATTCCAGCAATCAGTTTGACAGTCTAACAAAATCCTTTTCATATCTAGCTATGTCTAGCTAATTTTTTTTAGCACAACTGTTCTTTTCATGTGGATATCGATGCAATAGTGTATGGCAGTTACGAGAAGACATTTAAAACATTTCAAACTAAGAGATGACGATTCGAAGGAAAAGTACAATCGTTTTCAGTGTCAATATCGCTGATGTGTATTTTGCATCTTACGCAACGTGATATTAGAATTAGTGAAACTTGATATGCGGTTTCAAAGAAACGTCACGTGTCGCGAATGCGTGTATCAGGTGTGATTATGCAAACCGCCGAGTAATTCTCTGTGAATGAGTAGATCCTTAATCGCGTGTCAAGTGGATACATCGCGAGAAGGACTGGCAGAAACCGGCAAAGAAAGATTCTTCAAGTTGTCCTGAACGAACGGAGAAGTTGACAAGCTACGATGGCCCTTTCGCAATGTCCTTTCGACGTGCAATCTCATTAAAATATATATAATTACACGCCCTTACTGTCAGCGTGTTTGCTTAACAGAGGATATATATATTTATGTGTGACTTTACACTAAAGCCATTTACATGACATTTCATTCTTCCATGGGATTGCAACAATTTAATAGACGTTTAATCACTTACGTGGTGCGTCCAGGAGACCCGCTTTGTGAATTCGCGGAATGTATGAATGCTACATTTATATATACATTATTATATTTAACACAAATTGCTTTTGGAGTTTAAAAAATTCTTTGCTTTTATTTTTAAAGGATGTATAAAATATTATTAATCTTTATTTTATTATAAACGATCAAAGAGAGAAGAATAAAAATTGAGATAAAATATTAAAGCGTCACTCTTATAAAAAATATTATTGGAAAAATACTATTGAGTGAAACAGCTATTGGAATGAATAGTGTACAATATCAAATTTGAATAGCTTTCTAATTATTTCTAATCGTTTTTTCACGAGTCTAATAGTATTTTTCCATAAAGGCAGAATCTCACGAGTATAAGTTGTAGCAATTTTTTAAGATAAGTATAATTTTGTAATATTACATAATTTTAATTATTTTGAAAATTGTATTATGTAATATTTTAAATTACGTACATTTTATGTACAAATTATATATTTAATAATCTAGAAAATTTGTCTATGAAAAATAATCATCAAAAATGTTATGTAGATGCGATAATAATTATTATATAATATCGTTAATTTTAAATTGCAGTGACTAAAAGTTATTTATTTACCAACAGAAAAATGTAATTAAACTTAAATTAAGTACAATTATGTAAGACCTTCCAGACATACATATGTAGTATAGTCAAAACAGAGTAACGAAGTTGATAGCTTTAATAGCAATTATCTTTGCGCATATTAATGGAACATATGAATACGATATAATGATAATCTGGATGAAACTCATAATGAAAATAGAACGAATTTTAATTATAAAACCTTCGAGTGAGATTTATTAGATGGCAAAAGCAATTAAAAACTTTTTCGTAATCAAAATTCCCGCAGGGATGACTGATCCGCACAGTCATTTGGGCTTAACAAACCCACGGATCCGAGCTCGATACATTGTGGACACTCACGTACAATACATCCGTATGTATGTACATCTAAACATTGCATACAACCATGCTTCTTGTAATGAATCGTTAAAAAGTAGTGCAGAGTTAAGAACTACAGACAATACACACATGTGTTTAAATAAATATCGTCGGCGATAAAATTATACGACGTACGAAATTCTGAGATAATATTTCGTTTAAAATTACTCGAAGTTCCTCGGATTCTTTTGTGTTGTATTGTTCTCGCACATTTAGATGTTAATTGACACAAACGCAATTTTACTCACTGGGAAACTTGCAGAGTTCGACACAACTACCGATAGTTTTGCGGATCAATCGTCTAATTTTTTCATGGCGAGTTTGGAAGAGTATCACCTTGAAGAACACGACGATGATCCCGGCAAAAACGCATCCGTCGTCCGTAACGATTGACAGATCGTCAAAACTTATGCAAATGTCAGCGAATAGAGTTATCATGAAGACGAGCATAATCGCTAAGATAGATTTGTTGTATACATGGTACGAGTATTTTAGGAACGCGGATGAATTCGAATCGAGAGTCCATAAGCCAACGTACCTAAAATCGATTATAAAGGAGTATATACTTATACAATGAACAACTTTTGATCAAATATTGTTTCTCAACATATTAATAATTACATTTTGTAGGACTTTTTAATAAAAAAAAGAGTACGTTTAAAAAAAACTTCTATCATTCTTTAATTTTCAAAAATTCCGTTTAGAGTAACAATGCAAATTTGAAAAATGTGAAATATATAGGAAATTTAAATATTTTTGTTATACAATGTATGAAAATTAATATAATGGTATAAAGGTCTTTTTATCATTTACGTACAATTTTAAAAATGATATATTAAAATAATAAAAATTATTGCAACATTTAATATCAAAAAGATTATACTAATTTACAATTATACTGGTTTTTATTTCTCAACACTTTAATGAAAATTCTTAGGTATCTTATTCTGTAAAATAAAAGAAAAATGTAAATAGTACATATCAAGTTTTTCAAAAATAAAGCCCTTGATTTCTTAAAATTACTACTAAAATCTGTGAGTGGTGAAACTTTCTCTACTTCATATTGTCTTTTAGCAACTAAAAATACATAAGAATCATCATTCAAATATTAATAAACAGAAAATATAAATCAGTGTAATCGGGAGAAAGAATTCAAAATCTACTCGTGGATCGCACACGTAGATATGAGTACGCAATTGTAAAATGTAAACGAGACAACACGATTTTCTGAAATAACGATCAGTCGATCACGCCCCCGCGTGATAAGATTTACAACAGTTCTCACTTTAGGTAACTGAGATTCACAATGTTCAACTTCTGGAACTTTTCCAAACGATTGCCAATTGTTTCTCGCGTCATCCCTGCTACTCCACTCCGTGGCCACGACAGTAAAGGATACGCTACGTGCAGGGCATGGGAGGTCACCTGTGTCGCGTGGGTGCGATTCCTCGAGCGACGTTATATATCAAAGTACTCATTACGAGAGTCGTTTGAATCTATATTCCCCTTTGCTGCACTAGGAGAAAATTGTCCATGATAAACCAGACGCAGATTGTACTGTCGCGACTTTTTTTCCTCGAATTATAGACTCGCTCGTTGCGGCAACGTCTTCCATCACGCCAATAATTTAAGAAAATAGCGGTAATTGCAGTGCTGCTGCAATCCCGCGATTCGTTTCGTTCCCAAGCGTTTTGTACTTTACCGCAATAAGAGGCCAATACAGAAACAATTTATCAAGCCGCACATTCATAAGTATAAACGGTTTGTCGTTTTCCACTTATCGAAATAGCCGACTCGACAGCAAATTTAACAATGTGTGCTTTACTAGACGATTCGATCACTGTATTCTCAGTTCTTTCGTGATTGTATAACGATACGGATACGATAAGGAGGAAGAATTAAGAAGGTGAAAGAGAATCAATAATCTGTGAATAAGTTTCTGGTAAAGATTCAGTATCATTTTGCTTATTAAGACCTTATTTTTGTCTTTTAATATGAATTATTTCAGACACCAGTCTTTTGTTGTAGGAAGATTCAATGTCTAACATTTTAACATCATTCCATCTAAAATTATGGTCAAAATTAATACGATGATCTGTAAGGACAGTGGGAGAATATGTCTTTTTTCTAATATCAGATATGTATACGTTCATTTAATCTGGTACTCAATTTTCTTTTTGTTTGATCAACATAGCTGGCATTTAATTTTATACATTTATTTTTATTTAAATGTAATTTGCTTTTATTTATGATAATTTGCTGTTTAAAAAAATTATTTATATATAATATGATATTATTTACCTTTTAAATTAACTTCTATGTATATATTTTTATTTAATTATGTGATTTGCTTTTACATCCTTTTTCCTTATATATTTACTTTTATTTATTTAAACCAATGAAAACCGATGAGAATATACCGCTTTTATTTATTTATGTGCTCATCACTGCAAAATTAAATTAAAACTAGAGAATAATTATAAAGCTACAATATATATTTAATAACTTATTTTGGCTTAAAAAAAATTATTACATCTACTTTTACTTTTAGATATATATTTTTATTTAATTGTGATTTGGTTTTACATTTTTTCTTATAAATTTACTTTTATTCATTTTCAATTTATTGTTATATATTGTAAAGTTAAATTATAATTAAAAAACAAATTAAAGAGAGTTACAATACGCGTATTAAAAAAAATTCTTTTTAAACAAAAAGAATTCCGGTACCGGGAATCGAACCCGAGCCTCCTGGGTGAGAGCCAGGTATCCTAGCCACTAGACCATACCGGATTACGGAAATCGTCTTTTGAATTTTAAAGAAAGGATTAGCTATCGTACTTTAACTATACAATAAATTTATGTCATTGATAATTTTATATTTTTTTTAAATACTATGTTAGCTAACTACAATAATATTTCATATATAGCAATTCTATAAAAAATCTTTGAAAAGTTGATCATAAAAATAAAAAAATTATTATTTTTATATTTTATATTCAGTAATATAAATACATTATTAATAATTATATTAACAGCTATTACATATAACAAAATTTGCCACATAAACAATTAACAGAAAATCGTATTTAAAAAAGTAAAAAAACATATTGTCTATACTATTATAATTGTAGTTTCGAACCGACGACGTTTAGATGATGGACATTTCACGGTAAACTCAGTACTTTGGTCATTATATTTATTAATTACTAAGGCAAAAAGAATATAAACAACAATTACATAATTTATGACAATGAGCAAAAGAATTTGTCAGAAGTGGGATTCGAACCCACGCCCTCAGAGAGGACCAGAAAGCTCCGAACTCGGTGTTGAACCGAGAAGGTAATGAACCTTGAGTCTGGCGCCTTAGACCGCTCGGCCATCCTGACAATCGATTGCATGTCTCTTAATAATGCAGATAAGACGCACGCAGTAGTACACGCGTTAAACTTATGTAATGTAAGACATATAAAAATAAATATCTATAAAATAATTCAATAATGTAAAATAATTAATAATCCATAATATTATAATAATGAATAAACTATAATATAAAAAAAAAAAAGAATTTATTACCAACAAACTGTATAAAAGAAAGTAAATTATACATGCTATAAATTTTGTGGAAAGCTCTTTCATTTACAAAATGCGTATTAGATAAAAAGTAATATCTTGCAAAATTTTTAATAAATTGTGTGTGTGGAAAACAATTTGATTGATTATTTTTTATTGCATTTTTATACATGGCGTTTTTGCGAGCAAAAGAATTTTGTCAGAAGTGGGATTCGAACCCACGCCCTCAGAGAGGACCAGAAAGCCCGAAAAAACTCGGTTTTGAACCGAGAAGGAGTGAACCTTGAGTCTGGCGCCTTAGACCGCTCGGCCATCCTGACAATCGCGAACTTGTCTTTCCTAAAATAATTACATAAATATTTATACAATTGATATATTTGATTGATATTTATATATATATTTGTCGATTATTAATATTATCTTCCAAGCTACAAATAATTTTCTTATTTGTATATATATTTAATTTTTATAAATAAATATATATATATATATATACATTATACTAGAAATACAAAAGTTTTATTATTATTCTTTCATGCTATTCTATATAACGTGCAAACTTGATTCAATAAATATAATTTTCTAACAAACATATTTTTAATTGAAAATAAATAAATTTCTAGAAAAAAAATTAAATTGTAAAAAAGAAAAAAAAATAATGACATCTGTTTCCGCCCGGGATCGAACCGGGGACCTTGTGCGTGTGAAGCACACGTGATAACCACTACACTACGGAAACTCGCTGAGAGTGCATCTTTTGATTTCAAATATCTAGCTCCGACAAGTAATTCTGCAATAATAAGAGACTTTATTAAAATATGACATTACTTTATATTTAAACAAAAATTTCATTAAAATATAATAATTATACCCTATCAGAATTTTATATGTATAGGAAAGTCTACAAGTTTCGAACAATTGAAGCACTCCTCTAGCTATTCTGTCTATCAAACAAATATATTATCTTAATAATTAAATATATTATTTTTATCGAGAATTATAGTGTCAAACTTTTTTTATTCGATGATTAACACTGTCTAAACTGCTAAGAATAATTGAAAATAAAAATACTAGATAATAGTATAAAATATAAAAGACATAATAGTATATACATACTATAAGTATAATATACATATTATATGAAAACATAATAGAATTTACAGGTTAATTGAAAATTAAGACAAATGAATCTGAGCATAGTAAATATGTCATAAAATAGATCGTAAGAGATAATGATTTATTATTGTTAGAAGAGTATGATAATTTCCAGAGATGTAACGCCGCCGTTATGTGTGCAAATGAATCCGTGGAATACAATGCCGTCCATCACGAGAAAAACACAACTGGCTCGCGGCGTGCCGGAGATATTTCGGTATCCTTTGAATTGTAAATACTACATGACATTAAATCGGGACTGTTTACCATCGCTTCGGCGGATCTGTGGAATTCCTATGGCGTTTCTCTCCCCATTTTCGTCACGGTGCAGGGATTTACAGTCCCATTCGGACAATGGTATATATTACAGCAGTGATTAAACCGTGAGTTACAGTATTCGGACATTTCGAATCTGATCGACGATGCCCATGATTTATTGACATTTTTCTTATATTTTCTCGCTCAATATTTTATCGACGGAGGCTAATATTACATTCTACGTCAGAAACTTAATAACCCACAGTAGGCACATATATAAAAACGATTTTAACCTGCAGGATTGTGTGTTTATCGTAAAATACTATTCCATTCGAATAAGTGGCGTAATATGCGATAATGTACACTATTTACAGATATCTACATATATGTAAAGTATGTAAACTATATTTTACATGTCTAAGCAATCTCTCTCTCTCTCTCTCTCTCTCTCTCTCTCTCTCTCTCTCTCTCTCTCTACCCTATCAGAATTTTATATGTATAGGAAAGTCTACAAGTTTCGAACAATTGAAGCACTCCTCTAGCTATTCTGTCTATCAAACAAATATATTATCTTAATAATTAAATATATTATTTTTATCGAGAATTATAGTGTCAAACTTTTTTTATTCGATGATTAACACTGTCTAAACTGCTAAGAATAATTGAAAATAAAAATACTAGATAATAGTATAAAATATAAAAGACATAATAGTATATACATACTATAAGTATAATATACATATTATATGAAAACATAATAGAATTTACAGGTTAATTGAAAATTAAGACAAATGAATCTGAGCATAGTAAATATGTCATAAAATAGATCGTAAGAGATAATGATTTATTATTGTTAGAAGAGTATGATAATTTCCAGAGATGTAACGCCGCCGTTATGTGTGCAAATGAATCCGTGGAATACAATGCCGTCCATCACGAGAAAAACACAACTGGCTCGCGGCGTGCCGGAGATATTTCGGTATCCTTTGAATTGTAAATACTACATGACATTAAATCGGGACTGTTTACCATCGCTTCGGCGGATCTGTGGAATTCCTATGGCGTTTCTCTCCCCATTTTCGTCACGGTGCAGGGATTTACAGTCCCATTCGGACAATGGTATATATTACAGCAGTGATTAAACCGTGAGTTACAGTATTCGGACATTTCGAATCTGATCGACGATGCCCATGATTTATTGACATTTTTCTTATATTTTCTCGCTCAATATTTTATCGACGGAGGCTAATATTACATTCTACGTCAGAAACTTAATAACCCACAGTAGGCACATATATAAAAACGATTTTAACCTGCAGGATTGTGTGTTTATCGTAAAATACTATTCCATTCGAATAAGTGGCGTAATATGC